TTATGCAGCGCTTTTGGCTGGCAGCTGCCTGTTCTGTGAAAAGAGGCCAAGACATATGAGATAACAACCTGGTGCAGTGTTGTTCATAATTTTTTCTTTTTTTTTAATGTACGTTTATGTGTTTTAGGGAAATATTAATTTCATGTAAATTAAGTTGAATAAATTTCTGTAACTGTTGTTTGTAACTTTAGAAAATTAATCTAGACCAGTGATTCCCAAACTGTGCGCTGGGGAACCGTGACCTCTTCATATGGGCACCGTGAAATATTGTAAAAGCTTCATAATTAATGTAACCAAGGTGCGAATAGTCATACTTGTACTCAGGTTAGGGCGCCGCTGAAAAATTGTAATGGAAAAAAGTGCCCCGATCAAGACACAAAAGTGGGAAACACTGATCTAGACTGATGATGGCCATCTTTTTTTAGGTTTTGATGGGTACTTATAATTTCGGAAATCACTGATGTTCTACTTGATATTCTATAATATAAGGTCGGGAAGGGGGGGAAAGGGTACTATCCTAGTCGCTGCACATGATTTGTTTCTACCTTTATATTGTTTTGTGTAATCTACATCTATATCTGGTATATCTATATACCAGGGTGCAAGAGTCATGTCACATATAATCCTCAGAATTTATATACAGAGTATCTTCACTGAGTGTGGGGTGTGTGTCCCTTGTTCATTTATTACCTGCCATAAAGCACATCTTTGTGTAAACAAAAATTGTTAATTGTAGTTTTATCATTGTCCATGTTGTTACAGGCTGATGACAGTTGTCCAGCCACAATGTTCATTTTGCTGTTGATGAATCTGAAGCTGGGAGGAAGGCAAGGAGAAGGTGGATAAATATGTAACAGAAACCTGCACAAAAAAATATTCACAAATCCACCATCAAAGTCACACCGGATGCAAAAGACAAATACAGAAAACCCCATCTCTGGGCTACAGCCTGGTGAGATGATAAAAGAAGAAGAAGATTGGGATTTTCTCTAGTTCTTTTTCTGGTTGATGTTCTCATTAATCACTGGACTGGCCTGACATAGTGAAGCATTTTCTGTGTTGTTGTTTCCTGTACACATAAAACAGCAGAGCTATAACACAACCTAACAGATCAGGACAGAACTATACAAACACCATCAGTCAGGCAGCCAGACTAGAATCGTTTGACTCGGAACAGGACACCTACGTCAAATCAGTCTACGGGAAGGCTAATTCAGGCAACAAATGCCTGCAGAGGTCAGATGTATTGGCCAAAAAGCGCAAATTTCGCAGCCATGATGTAAATGGGAACAGTGTGTATATTATGCCTTTGGATAAACGCAAAAAAAAAAAGAAGAAATGGGTCATACTGACTCCACCTGTGGTTGAATTGCACCAAATCAAACTCCACAGCATGTCTTACAAGATTGCCTAGACCAGGGTTATTCAACTTGCCGCCCGCAGGCCTAATTTAGTCTGCGGAGGCTTAGCAAGTGGACTGCAATTCATTGCCAGTTGTATGGTCTTCTGGGGCACGGGCAACTGGCCCATGATGATCCTTATTTTCAACATTTTGTCCCCCAATTTAACTTTGTTGAATAGCCCTGGCCTCGACTTTGCCAGTCAAAGAGAAAAAAAAACACGAGGCTTAAAGAGAGAAAAAATGTGGCCCACAGGAGCGACACTGCAAGACAAACTTTAGGGCACTTGTAATTCAATGCTACAATACTGTATTTATGTTGTAGCAGCTTTTATTGTGTACATGTGAGGGAGAGAAAGAAAGAGCGTTATTTCATGCTAAAGACATAAATAAACAGCCAAAAACAATCAGTTTATAAATATGTTATTTACCATGATAAAGAATATGTCTGTGATATGGCTGCAACAGCCTAACCTATGACCCTGAAAGTTCAAGCTGTGATCCCCTGGAATTCATCTCATACATCTTGGAGTGGTAGATACAACTGCAGAAAGTTGGCAGATTGTTTCCGTGAGCATCTTATGGACATTCACACTGTAGCTGTTAAATCAGTCTCTCTCCATTTAAATACTTCTGACCACTAAAATAGAATCAACATCTCAGTTACTGCAACAAAATCTTGCTCCAGTGATCAAACAGGTGGCCTCTTCTAGGAAATTGCTCTATTGGTAGTTTTGGTGTTTTCTCTCCTGTGCGGGGATCAGTACTGAGCATACCTTTATTTAATTTTATTTTTACTTGTTTATTTTTCTTCTCCGTTTTCAGACATCTTTTATTATTTTGTTCCATAATGTGGTCTCACGAGTCCATATTTTTTCCTATTATGTCTGGTTCTGTGTTGATCTCGGCTATTTATAAGTTCTGCCATCTTGTCTGTTGTTTTCTGGTCACAGTTTGTGTATAATTCAGTATTTCGACATGTCAACATTATCATCAATCAGCATGTCCTTTACAGAACGTCCCTCTCTTCACGGCAGGACTAAAAGTCTCTCTGTCTAGCCAAATCTCCAGCCCTTTATGCTTTCACAGCCAGTGCATCTTTAATATCCTGTATCCACGTTCGCGGAGGTCCGCCTCTACCTCATTTTCCGGAAACTGCACATCATTGTTCTTTCCAAACCACCATGGCGCTGGATACCTCCAAGATACCACAACTTTTGGGATAGGATGCTGTTTACGAGCCAGTTCTCCACCATGTTCAGGTCATGCTTAATGTCAATGTTTTTTCTTCCTAGTCCATTGTATTCTAAGAACTTTTCATGAGTTGCCACGGGGTAATGCATGATCTCAAAATTTTCACTTTAATTTGCTTGTGGGTGCTATTTCATAGGTTCTTCATGCTGTTTAGCCTCTGCATGGCTAAAGCAAGACTTCTTTTGTGCAGTCGCCATTTTTGTTCATAATTGAGCCTAAATATTCCAAATCTGTGACATTTTCAATCTTTTTGTTGTCATTTTCAACAAGTGGTTGGTCTGCTAAACATTATGTAAGGTTTTCTTCAGATTCAGAAATAGATTCTTTTCTTCAGTGTGCTTTTTGACATACAAAATTAATGTGAAATTATACCCCCGCCCCATCAAGTGCCGATTAGTCTGTGAAATATTGATCTAGCAGATGCCCAATACACCTGAAGGTGCGGAAAAAGGTCCTTTACTTTACTCCCTGTGCAAGAAGACAGAAGGGAAAAGACCTCGAGTGTCTGACTGATTTTTCAATTCTTTCTGTACCAAAGAAGGCCTAGTACCTTCATGGTTAGCACAAAAGCAGCAACGGTCTCGGTCCTTATTTATCCACAGACATTTGTAACCTCAACTGATTCGGTCTAAGTTAATCAACATTATCCTTATGTTCTCTCTCTTCTGCGTTCTCCCTTAAAAGGTGATTGGCCATAACTTTGCATTCTGTACAGCTAGGCTGCTTTAAAGTAAAAATCATTTAGATAAAAATTGATAAATTAACAGATGGGTAAAAAACAAACAAAAAAGAATTAATGACAGGTGTTAATTGTGTCAAGAGTGGCTGGCTCAGCAAAAAAGAACACTGGTTAAAAAAAAGAAAAGAAGACAAAGAAATGTCATTATTTATATTTATTTCAAAATCAAAAACATTTATTTAAAGATTTAAAAAAAAGACATATATCATTATAAAAAATATATTATTTTTCACATTATAAACACATGTATAATATATTTAATGTTTTGGTTATCATCATGTGAGCCCAAATATCATCCTGTGAGCCATTATCATCAACATCTGAGTTGTCATCTTCACAAAAGTAATAAACACTCATATGATGATTTTTTTAAAAAGCACAACGGAAGCAATCATTATAAAAAGAATTATATTACTACAAAGTAAGAAATTAAATTAAGCAGTCATTAACATTAAGTGAGCAATCTTTCAGAATAATAGAAGTAGTCATAACACAAATTATATTACTACAAAGTAATGAATGATCTCAAATTAAGCAGTAACACCTACCATTTATGGTGTGAGGTGCTTCTTTACCTATGTGGGCTCCAGGGCCCCATCTGGGGGCAGGGGGAGGGACAGACCCACTGCCCTCTAGCAAACGAATCATAAAAGGCGACTAATGAAGGACTTTAGAACGGCCGTGATTTAGCAGCTAGTTGCTCGCCTCGGGCCAAAAGGTTGTGGATTCAAAATCATGAGAAGCCAAACCGACCCTTCTGGTTCAGATCTTAGAGTCCCTTCAAAACTGCTCACTGTTTGGCAGGCACCATGTGATAGTTTGTGACAAAAGTATATACTCAAAACAATCAATATAAAATATAACAATAAAAATCAAAAACCCTCTCCTTTGTAAGCAGACGGAATTTGTCGTACATCTGAACTTACCCTGGTAGTCAGTGACTAGGGTGAGCTTCCGGCGGCCTTGATAGAGAGACAATGTATCGGAGAAACTATTCTCATTTCAGTTGAATTTATTCAGTTTTGTGCTGTATTTTATATTGATGTAACGTCTGTAGTAACGCACCTGACGAGATACAGCGAAATATGCCTGGCAATAAATTGTGCAATGTATTGTTTGTATCCGCACTATTTAAAAGTATATAAATTTGAATTGAAAACTAACTGTAAATTAACTGAATAATCGTACCAAATAAAATAATATTATGTTGGAAGGTTTGTATATAACTTGTAAATACAATTAAACACAATAATGTCATTTAAGATTGTTAAAGAAATACTGTAAAGGAATAATCTGTTAAATCTGAACATAAACAAATAAGAAAAATCAATATACAACATAAAAGACTGAGTTCTGGACACAGACAAAGGTTCTGGACTCAAGACTATGAGTTCATGATACAGACTATGAATTGTGGACTCAGACTGTCATCTTCTTCTTCTTCTTCCCATTCACCAGCTGTATACACTGGCGGAAAGTTCTGGCTGTTCGTCCATTTCTGGACTACAGTCCTGTCCCAGAACTTGAGTGTTGTGTGTGCAGCCGTTTTACAGATCTGACTAATTACTCAGACTATGAGTTCTGGACTCAGAATGTATAAAATCTTGCTTAGTCTTTTTTATCTTTCTTTGTGCCAGTTTGTTTTCCACAACATTTTCTCCGCAGACGGCAGCAGATGCAATGCAGACAGAAAATTTGCATAACTATAACAAGGAAGACAACGGCTAACACATCAAGAGCAAAGAATTGATATAAGGGCATATTCTGACCAGCAGATCGCATGTAGGCACCTCCATATTCTATCACATGATCAATCCAAAATGCAGCCATTTTGTGTGGTTCTTTGTATAGCAGCCGAAACAAAATGGAAGCTTTTTTAATGCTGCTACGGTATGTTGTATTTCCAGAAACTTCTTTCATCAGATCTGCCAAATTGGAGGCTGATAATTCGAGGATGTTTGCGTGTAAGCCGAATCCTCTGGCGGTTGACCTCTGTGCATTGTACATCTGATCCCCAAATAACGGCAAGCAAAGCATGGGAACTCCATGATACAACGCTTCGTACTGTCCGTTAGCACCACAGTGAGATACAAACAGGCGGGTGTTTGGATGAGCTAGGATATCATTCTGAGGAATCCACTGAGATGCGAAGATCTTGCCAGGATTCACAGAGGTATAGTTTACCCTCCACACAACATCGAGCTCTTGTTGCTCAAAGGCTTCGACCATCAGCTTCGCAACTTTCGATGGAATCTTCACAACACTGCTCCCAAATGTCACCACAGCCACCCCACGTTTGGACCCTTCAACAAAGCTCTTAAACGGATCTTTCAGAGGTTGTCCTGCGGTTGGCGCTGTGCAGCCGATCAACTTTATGTTAGGAAGCTCCGGCTTTGCAAAATCCAAAATATGATCGCCCTCCACAAGGTAAATTTCGGCCTGAAGTGCCAGCTTGTTGACAGATATCGGTGGTCTGTGAGGGGCAAACTCCACAACCATACTGTCATTTCCACTGATGAGCCCTAAAATCATGAGCCCTGTGTTGCAGGCAGCAATCTTCAGCCGATCTAGGAAACTATCATGACTGATGGTGCCAATGGCTTGACAAGGGGTCGCAGTTAGACTAACTGGGACTCTATATCCGAGGAGATCATTGAAAGGGCTCAGCAGTACAAACGAAGCATTAAAAATATATGGAAGAATTACAATGTTCTTGAACGGAGGCAAATGCGACAGAACAAACAAATCAGGCTTAATTGCTGCTAATTTCTCCCGGAGATCTCGGTCAGATAAAATAAGTCTCGCAGTCTCTTGAAGAATTCCTGAAAACTCTGATAGAAGTGTGTACAACTGAATACCTCCTTGCCAAAAAGATCCAACTATTTTACTTGTAAGCATTTCTTCATAATTTCCTAAATAATCCCCATAGGCAATGACATTAATTCCCTCAACGTTGACCAGCTTTTCTTGCAACATAAACTGTGGAATCAGGACATACGGCTGGTGTCCTAAAGCTGCCAGAGCTCGTCCTACATTGGTGTGGGTTCGAACATTTGCTGTGTGAGGAACAGACAGCAAAACTACCACTTTTGATTCTGATTCTGGCAATCTAAGAAAAAAGACTGCCAAGGCAGATAAGACAGCAGCCAACGTGATCATTGTCCCAGTGTGTGACAATCTGTGGAAGACAAACAGAAAAGAGGGATTGACTTTGCAATTAAAGTAAAATCTCGCTAATGCAAATTCAAAGACATGGAAAAATCAAGAGTTCATTAAAAAATAATTGTGCTATAATGGGAACAAATTAATTTCCGCCAGAACCCAAAAAATGTGTACTTTTAACCTTAGTGTTCATCTTGAGGGAGGAGCGGCTGGCCGAAGGTTAGAATGCTGAGCTCTCATGCCGGAGACCTTGGTTCGAATCTTCAGTAAGGTTGGGGATTTTTTTCTGTCGGCCACAAAAAAAAAATCCTTATCCACACAGTCATGGTGACAGCACTAGCCATGCAGCTCTAAGTCCTCAGTCTCAAAGATCCCCCTGCTTGCAACGCAAAAGTGGTATAATTAAGGTAGTCATTGCAGTTGTTGTTTTTTCTTTGGGCAGTGATTTTTTATTAACAAGGTTTTACTGTAGTAAGTTGGTCGATAGAACATCCTCACTGCACATGTAACTATTCAGTTCATAAGTGCTCGGATTCTCCTCAGTAAGTAACTCCCGCCCTGTGTAGTGGCTGACAACACCAGTTCTGTGTTGGTTTATTATTCTTCTTTGGCTTCCTGCATAGTTCTCTTCTCTGGCAAGTCTTGTTTTACTTGTTATTCTAATCTGGTCATGGTTGCAGATTCACAGTCATCACGTGGTTCTTGCAAATGTTTTACTTCTCACAGACTATTCAGTATATCAGCCTGGTCCATAGCTTATTCCCCCAAAGTAGCCTTACCTGCAAGCCTAGCTAGCAGCTTGCTCATTTTCTTGTACACCTACATGCCCTGGGAGGAAATTGAAACTATCTTTGTCAACTGTGACTGCAGCACAGCAACAACCACATTACTATCTGGATGAGGTCTTGTGTGACAACTCAATCTCCTTAGGTGAAAAATCAGATGAAGATGTGGAGTCAGTCATATGTACATCTATTTAGACAGCAATGTAGACAATACAAGAAGGTAAAAGAAGGGCTGTAAACACTAAGAAAACATTGGGTGGAGGGGGGTGACTCAAGAGCCTAACCGATGTTTAAGGGTTCAATTAGAATAATTATGACACATTCAAAAATATTATAGATGCATGTAGGGACTTCAGATTCTTGTATGGTGTTAATGTATGTTTTTACTCCTTGACTGTCTGTTTCCTACCTTTTTTTTTTTTTTTAATTAATTTTTCTCTTACAGAATTGCATACTGTCACATCCTGTGACTCATGGCGCAAAGATTCAAGTGGGAATTCAGCACTAGCAAATCTCAGAAACCCTTTGCAACTGTATAACACAGTTAGATTACCTGGATTTTTCTTCTGGCACTACACAGTACAGGAACCTTTTTTCTAAGGCATCAATGCTTTTTTTTTTAAGCACTTCTGTAATAGATACTCTCTGGTGAATATGGGCACCCTTTAGACGTTCAGTGATGAGTACCAGCATTTTTTTTTAGACATTCTGTGGTGAGTACCGGCACCTTTGTAGACACTCTGTGGTAAGTACCAGTAGTCCCAGCAGAATTTTTCTTGTCTAGATAAACCTTGCATATAACAATAGGCACCCAAAGGTTAAGAAGTGTGGGTGGGTTTTGTTTTAATAGCAGCTGTAGGATATGGCAAAAGATGTGATAACTAGGCATCAGTTGGTTGACGGAATCCCTGTGTGAATTTATTTTGGTTGGGTGGAGATGGGGGGGGGGGGGGGGGGAGGCCAAGTACACCCATTAATAAGCATGTAGTAAAAGTCTACTTTTTAGGGGTGTTTTCTTCAAAGCTGGAATACATCTGGGCGAGAAGCCATTAGTCTGCACATAAATAAATCAGATTTGTTAAACGGGTGTGCATGCAAAACCCAGGTTCTAAAACAAGGCCAAAGTCCGGAAGTGGTTGAACAACTGAGAACGCTTTCGCCTGTGAACGCTACTTGCTAAGAAAATCTCAACGATAAAATAAGAATGAAAAGGAAGAATTTCCCAGAGATCATGTTCAACTGTGTAACCCATTAACATTAAAGCAACCCTACGGTTACCCTGCAGATGAATGAGGGGACTGCAATGTTTATGATGGGCCCTGTAATCTACGCCTTTCAAATACCCTAAATAGGATTTAACACATTAAAAGTTCTGTGTGCGACTTTTGGGCGCCGTCGAAGTTGATCTGTTGAAACAGATTCACTATGGATATTTCGTTACATTTTTTTGCATAAATACTTCTTTCTTTGCAGGTGCTTTAAATTAAATGATTATTTTAGAACATACTTACCGTTTGTTAGTGTTTAGTACAAAATCTAGAGATATCTTGAGTCTGGACAGAATGAAAGTTGGAGAAACTGCAGGTTCTTGAATCCGAAGGATGACGGCAGATTTTGCCACATCTTACAACCAAAGGAATTACATCGTCTCGCTCTTCATTTCCTATTTTACCGCTTCGGATATGGATGGAGACTAGGGTTCTGCTTTCTGCTCTTCTGTCCGCCTCGACCATAGGCTTATCCTGCTGTTATAGAGTTTCTCTGATCTTTCCTTCTGTTCTGGTTCGTGGTCCTCCTTGTGCTCTACGTCTTTCTTCCCTTTCAGTGAATGTCTTGAATGGCGTCACAATATGTGTGATTGTGGGCCTATATATGTGGGTGTAGCCTATGTATGGATGTGTGTGTGCATTATTCTAAGATGTATATTTATATATATATATATATATATATATATATATATATATATATATATATATATATATATATATATATATATATAAACGTAGTATGCATTATTGATAAAAGGCATTGGTACTCTGAAAGGTGAGTGCTTAGAAGGGCCGAATGTCAGACGGGCCTGCGTGCCCAATTTGTAACCCTTTGAAAACAGAGTTTGTTTGTTAGTTCGTTCATTCATTCACAAACCATTATTCTCTCTAAATGGGAAAACCATCTGATTTGCTGCCCTTGTATGAAATTTAGAATTGTTTTGAGCCCACTGTTTTTCTCTTAATTTCCGATTTTCTTTATTCTTGTCACTTTTGCGGCCCTTCCTGTGCACCCCATTTATATTTTTACTAATTTTAATTTTTGGGTTCTTGTGAGTGACAATATCTGGCACTGGTAGCACAGACACGATATGAATATGCTTTCTATGACGTTTTGTTTGTTCATGTGTGTTTCTTTGTGCTGACCGGGATTGGCTTATGCTGTAATAAGGAAGCTACTGTCCAAATACTTGATTTGCTCTACTGTATTTTATGTTAATTTCTTCAAAGAATGTTCCATCTTCAGTGAATGTTGCTCCCAGACATTTGAATTCAGATGTATTTGTGAACATTTTGCACTTTTCTATTATCATTAGGTTCTGATTATTTCTCCATATTAACATTAATTCTGTCTTTTCAATTTTAATGATCGTACAAGTTGTTTAAATTCTTCATCCATATATGTTAAATGTTGCAATTTCATGGATATATGTACCTTCTATTATGCCTGACAGACTTAATTGCATGGAGTTGTATCGCATCTGACTCGATTTCTCTCCACGGAATGTGAAGAATGTCGCACAAAGAATGATTCCCGTAGCTTCAGCGAGGATCCCCAAGGATCTTTGCACGCGCGATCCGAACGACACAGTCGTGAAACGAGAATAATTTAAATGTCTGTCTGCCCAGTTGAAGCTCCAACTCACGTATCAATACAAAAAATAAATAACAACCAGAAAGAGCAATGGCAAGCTAAGGCCGTACCTCAAAAATATTAGCTAAAGCTGTGATGGACGTTAAGTCCCTTGAGCGAGTTAGAGCCCATTGGGTAGATAATGCGATTCTCAAGAGATTTACAGATTCTGTGATTGGAGTGGCTAGATTTGATGAGGGTGAAAGTTTAAACAAACACAGAAAACAGACGATTATCTAGTAAACACTTTCATAAACACTGTGAATGAGTAGAAAGCACAAATCTCGGGGGGGGGGGGGGGGGGGGGGGGGGGGGGGGGGGACACATCTGTCAGTAGAGCAGTAGGTTAATCTTCATACTGATTTACTAATATTTAAGAATCGACATCATAGTACACTGGGCATATCCATAGATGCTACATCTTCTGCAGTAAATGTTTGAAGATGTTGACGCAATCTGTTCCCGTAGCACACTGATTATATATACATCGTTCTCTTCCTCTCATACTTCCCTCTTTTCCGGATCCACTCTTAATTGCTCGTTCACACATTCACATTCAATATGCATACATATTGAAGCAGTCTGATATACCAATGCCTCTTTGGTTCTGCAGTTCTTATAGGGATCTATTTATTTAAGATTGGTTTCGTTATTGCCCTTTTGGCTTTTTTCCCTTTTCTGCTAGTTGGAAATACGAGTTTGGCTATCTTCGCAGCACCCCGGACACGTCCACATGTGCTCAGATTCCCCCTTCTGCACATACATCTGCGTCCCGCGGTTAATAGTGCCAGTCCTGTGATGGTTGAAAAAACTTCTCGTGCCCCGTGTGCCTCTCGTGCCTGGTTGCGCCTATCTTTTCTCCAAATCAGTCTAAACAAGATTTGTAAAAAATAGTAAAGCAACTTCTCCCGCCTTCAGGCTTATTAGGCATACAGGGTTAGCCCCATTTTTTGTAGACCAATCAACACCACGCCGGCCGTCTTTACTTCCTCATGTACCCAGTATCCATTTAAGGCTGGATTGACCTAAGTGCAAGGATTCGTTTTTGAAAAATAGGCCGGCTCCACCAGGACCTGAATAGACGACTTCCAATCCACAATATCTCTAAGGGCATTAACAATCTCGGCGCATATCGGCGACTGGGTTGCGCATTGGCTCGCCGGTAGACAGCTTCGTCGTCGGTCGGGACAGTATTTGGGTCTTCTCCTCTGATCGCAGCACGCTGCAAGGGTCCTTTTCAGGGGTACATTGTGGCGACTAATGCTGAGCCATTGTTATGGCTAATATTAACATAGTCACAATATAACCCCTCCCCCTCCCCCCTCCCCCGCCCCTTCGGGAAATGCTGGTTAAACTTGACGAGTGTCCCTCCCCCCACAAAGCAAGTCAAGTCAGTCTTGACACGATCAATATGCCAGCCATCGTCTCTATGTTTTAAAAGGGCTCAGCCCTGACATCGTCTACCATACAGGATGCCCCTAGGGACTCTACCAACCTCGAGGTATAAGCCAGCCGTATAGTGCTAGCCCTGTATTTTATAGACCAATCGAAACTTAGTGTATGATGTAGTGAACATCGCACTGACTGCCTTTACTTCTCAATACTTTACCTACTACCTATTTAAGGATGCATCGACTGGGATCCAATGCCATTTTTGAAAGGGGGGATGGGAGGGGGGGGGGGGAGTCCGATTCCCTTCAGATTTGAACCGACCTTTGTATCCGCACTCGAGTGTCTAGCTGCGAAACCACGGTGGCTCCTAATAGCAAAGTTATGAAAGTCAACAACAGCAACAAAAAACAACAACAACAAAAACAACACGGAGGAAAACACATATGAATTATATATCAGCTTTAACGAACCTTCATTAACTGAACAACGATTAAAAACAAAACGAACTGACTGGAATAATTGCATTAAATATTGATTGTGTAAACGATTGAAATAAGATTACACAAAGTACATGAGTACCATAAGTATGTTTTCAATATACAGTGAATATGTTGTGAGATCTCTGATTGATATGCACAGAGTTGTGGTTGGTGGGCACAATATAAACAATTTGCGTTATGCTGGTGACACAGTCTTGATAGCAACGGATCAGAAAGAACTACAGGAAATGATGGACATTGTGGTGTTGGAGAGTGGAAGAATGGGCCTCAGTTTGAATAGTGGGAGGACAGGGGTAATGGTGGTATCAAGAAAGTGAATTGTTCCTAAGTGTGTAGTAAAAGTCTGTAGTGTTGTTTTGGGACAAGTTCAGAAATTTGAGTATCTGGGCGCGTGGATGGCGTCGGATGGAAGATGCATAACTGAGATGGGGGGCAGAATAGGACAGGCAGGGACTGCATTTTATAAAATGAAAAGCATCTTGTGCGGTATATCCTTGTCATTGAGAGTTGAAGAAAGAATACTTGCTTGCTACATACATCCAGTTTTGGCATATGGCTGTGAGTCAAGGGCAATCGGTAGGCAGGCCAAACCGTTTCTAGAGGCCTCGGGGATGTGGTGTTGCAGAAGAGTCCTTAGAATGCCTTGGACAGCCAAAAAAGAGCAACCAAGAGGTTTTAAAAGAGGCGGGAGCCCGAAGACAACTTGTCACAGACATCAGAAGGAGACAGTCATCATTTTTGGCCATGTTATGAGAAGAGGGAAAATAGAACATGTTGTGACCACTGGTAAGATCTGTGGAAAAGGGGATAGAGAAAGACAACGAGAGAAGATGCTTGACAGTCTTGTTGCATGGCATGGAGGTGTGTCGGCACACGAACTGGTACATGCTGCAGGAGATCGCAGATTATGGAGAGGCATGATCGCCCACGCCAGTCGGCAAGGCACCTAATGTGATGAAAGTACCTGAAAAGTAACGAATCCGATTGCTTGTCTATCGTAATATGTAATTTTTTTTTTATTAGCTGAACATATACTGTATATTTTTCTTATTATTTTCAAACTCCAGCCTAAATCCAGTTACTCGTTTGCTTTTCTTTGCTGGGAACAAAATCATCACATTCAATTAGTATCCTCGAAGGCAATAATTGTGGTTATACTAGGTTATAATAATAATAGTAATAGGTTATAATAAAATGTTATTATTGTGACTAGTTTATGTCAGCCATATAAAATTGCTTAGCATTGCACGTCACCAAAAGCCATGAAAACGACTCTTGCAGTTTTGATGCCATCAAATGAGACATACCCAAAACACTGTCCCGACCAACGACGTAGTCGTCTACCGGCGAGTCAAAGTGCCCAGTTATTGAAGCAACAGGTTAGTACTTGGTGAAGTCGATTCATGTGCCGTAATTATAACACAACTTTCTAGAAAGCTGATAGCGGTATCAGGGATTATCTGTCTTAGATTGACAATGAGGATGCAACGTTTTGGCTGCAGCGATGTCAAACATTTCGATAGCAACTACAGGGGACAGAAATGTGTAGGCCTAAACTTCTGCTATTTAATAGATTGTATATTTTAAGAGAGCCATAGTCACCCAGTTAAAATTAAGGCTGGGTAGCCATACAAGGTTCGACAATTAAGTAATGGGACTAATTTTATTATGGCTAAGACAAAAATGCCATCTATGAATCACAGCATGGAATACAAGGAGACAATCTTCATCTGTGATTTGGCAACTTTTCATCACCGCCTGATAAGTAGACAGCAAACAAGCCGCCATTTTGTTAACCTAGTCAGAGCTGTATTGTTACACAATCAGAAAAGAAAAAAAGCTAACATTAAATTATGTTTAAAGCTCAGAAAAAGCGCCAATGCAAAAGTTAAATTAACGCGACAAGTTTATGGGGATAACTGTTTATCTGATGCACAGATTTTCAGCTGGTATTCATGATTTAAAAGTGATGTGGAAATTATTACTAATGCAACTAGACCTGGACGTCCAATTTCTGTTCGTAATGTGGAATTCATTGTAAAATTCCGAGAACGGATTTGACTATATTAATGACATCAAAAGGGCCGTAATATCGACTTTAAGGGCCATAACAACAGAAGAAAAGGTGGTTCCAGCGTTTGTTAGATCATGCCACCTGCTGTATCAATGCACGAGGGGCTTACTTTGAATAAAATACAGGTTATATCTTCAGCTTTTGATTTTTAAAATTTTTATGGAATTAGTCTCATTACTTAGTTGTCGGACCTTGTATTACTGTGAATCCATCTCAATACCCGTATCATTCATGTCCCTCTTGCAAACATCTTTGTGTTGTGGTAGAGGTGGATCCTACTAACTAACATCCTGTCATCCCTTTGTGGGATGCAATTTTTCGTTATTTGAAGCCCTACTCTGGCTCATGCCAAGGGCCGCAATATAGCCCCGCCATAAATATGGTCTAATGGCTGAACGCGGTTTCTGGGACCTCTCCGCGGGTGATCCTCATCCACATGGTGGCACTTTGTGTCATCGGGTGTTTATCGCTTGTGTGATGTCCTAGTGGGGTAAAAAAATATAGATAGATAGGTCGATCCTGAGTTTTTCTACCAATAAAAAGAGAAACGGTTAAGCTTTACAAACTAATCTCTTATTTTGACATTCATTTTCTAAATATTTTATTTAATTACCAAACTCGTTTCTTTCGGAAACGACAAAAAATCTCCACGTAAACATTTCGGAATTGTTTGTTGGTACAAATATAGACAACAAAGTTGCTGGAACAGTTAATGCACGAAGCAATGTTGGCTGACTGGTGCAAAATCTTGGATAGATTCGAAGGGCTCCTGTCAGTAAAGACTGTAGACACAATCTCATTTGGTAAATAAATGTGCAGAGACTGAATGATGCAAGTTACTATATAAACAACGCAAACAGATAAAAGCATCAACGTTGTACGGTTTGAGGATTTTTCTCTTGTTGTCATTCTCTTTCTCTTGACATTTTCAAATTTCAGCTTCAATGAGATAATTAAACATCCAAAAGCTGTGAAAATTGGCGAGATTGTCATTGCGCAGTAGAGCAGAAAATGCTCAAGAACTTCTAAAGCCGGACCGCTGACAGTCACAAATTTGTGTTCAATAAACGCAGACGACTTGTTGATGCTGCCATTGGCAACACGAAGTTCCAGAAAGAAACTTGGATATATGAGAAATGCGAACCATGTCAAACACATTAATAACACAATTATCCACGTCCTTCTAACTGTTACAATTCTGTGGAAACTAAGTGGGGCAAAAACAGCTATCAGTCTTTCAATAGTAATTAATGTTGGTAAAGTGTATGAGACGGTAGCAGTTGAGTAATCGAAATAAAAGAAGATACAAAATAAAACCATAAAATCGCTACACGTTTGATCCGACAGAAAACGAAAAGCCTCCAGATCGATTAAGTGGTAAAGAATTAGGCGTTCCCCGTTAAATGAGACCAAATATATCATATCGGCGACCGCCAAAACAATGAGAAAAATATTTGAGCTTTTCCTCAATCCTTGCTTAAACAAAACAGCAACGCCAAAACAGTTCCCAACTATGCCTAGCGCAGACACCGTGGGAGTTACCACAAGTACAAGGATTGTATAAACGCTTTCAAGTATTTCTTCGTCATCGAGGCCTCCATTATTTCCTTTCATATTTTGTAATATTTTTAAGTAAAGAAGAATTCAGCCAAACTATCTATCTATCGCAGACTACGTTTTTGAAAATGCAATCGTGCTTTATATTTTGAAACCAATGTCAGTTTTGTTTATTGTTATCAGTAATTACAAATAAGAAAATGTCTTAACATGACATTCTTTCTTCTTTTTTTTTTTTTTTTTCTAAATTCCTATCTTATTCATTTTTATTTTCCCCCGCCCGATAATTTTCTAATAAATATAATAAATGATGTCTCCCGCCACTCAGTACAATTATTATACTCGAAAATTATTGTCCATCATGTCATGTTTTGCTCAAATTAATTACTAATGGCACATTCTTTGAGGAAATAGTTTTTTATGATTTTCTTTGCAGATTTATATCAATAAATCTTCCAAGTGTTAATTATCCTAAGGTACTCTTAAATTTACAGATTTGGGTCTCTGGATGGAAAATCTTATCGTTCAAAATTATGTCGCTTCTTGTGGTTATAAAATTTATGTAGCAGAAATCTGAATTACAATGGATGTGTCATGGAACTGATTTCTTCATATGGAGATTTTTTTTAAAAATAAAGAATTACTATTTGCCTTTCATCTACTTCAGAGACTGTACTGACTTATAATTTCCAATTTTCTGTTCAAAATGAAGCAAGAACTGTTTTCTTAAATTACAGACTTTTTTGTTTCGTTGACAATTACTATCGATTCGATTTTGCAGTCTCCAGCGCTTTCTAATTTTCTCCCCTGGGTTTAGAACACGGCATTTCTACGACAGGAGGGTGTGGTTTAGACTTGCTCGTATCTTATCTTTGTGATAATGAATGACTTGCGATCTCTAAATAACACTTTTGATTTAGTCTCACCTGCAATCGTTAAGAAGATGATTTATTAGTTACCATCAAACAGAAGGTCTTTTACAGAACGTAGCTGTCGTCACGGCTGTCTTTCTCTAGCCAGCCCTCCAGCCCTCTGTGCCTTCCTAGTAAATACATCTTCAATATCTTGTATTCACCTTCGCGAAAGTCGGCCTCTGTCTCACTGACCGGAAACTGTACCCTCCATCGCCGTTTTCTCCAGGCTGTCACGACATTTAACATGGCCATTCGACATAGAATGCTGTTTATCGGCAAATTCTTGATGCAGAGATCTCGTGAGACTTCGATGTTTCATTTCTTTTTTGGTCCACGGTATTCTAATTTTTCTGTAGTATTTCAGTTCAAAAGCTTTCTTTTTTTTTTTTTTCCTTCTTCGGAGACTAAGACCGATATGACTTACATCTGTAAATTGTCAAGGGAAAGAAGCATGTCGTAGAAGTAAACCCATCAGGGGTGTCAGAGTGCTTCTGTCTGAGAGGCGAAGAAATAGCAGTTTACTTACAAATAAGCCAGCTCTGTAAAATGGAACTGCACGCAAAACTCCAGAACTGGAACAATACTAAAGTCCAGAATTGGACAAACAACAAGAACTTTTCGCCGGAGTTTACAGCCAGTGAACCGCAACAACAACAACAACAACAACAATAACAAAAAGAAGAAGAAAGAGACTAAAATAAGAGTGAAGAGCCGAAATCACACCACAGTAAATCCTGCACTGGGCGGTAAATTTTGTAAGTATGATGCCAAACTTTGAAATTCTGCCTCTTAAATGTTCCGTGTGTATTTTAATTTCGCTGCTTTTGCCGCACGGTGCCGCCTAATGCGTTTGAATCTCTATATCGTAACACGGTCCTTGAACTACACCCCTATTTTCAGCAGCCAGCACAGCCCTACTACAAAAAAAAAAAAAAAAGACAGTTGTAAAAACATATGCGTATATATAAGAATACGTTAAATGTAATGTTTTCTAGAAGGGTTTTCTAACTTTCAGAAGAGGACTTCCAGTCTAATTTGGAGTAATAGGCATGACAGAACGTTTAGCTTCGAATCAATTTTTTTGCTTCCGACAGCGCTTTGCTATTGCAGTTTCCACAAATGTGCTGTAGTCTACGGTTTCGCTGGCTGAGCTATCGAGTTAAGTGCTTGTTTGTTTTTCTGCTACCGACAGCGCTTTGCTAATGCAGTTTTCGCATATGGACGGTAGTCTACACTTTCGCTGCCTGAGGTACTGAATTTAGCGTTTGGTGCAGCCCTGTGAGCTGCGTTTTTCACGTGGAATGCCTTTCATTTGTGCAGCGGTCGTGTCGTGGTATTCAATATAGCCGGTAGCCGGTTTACGTGTGGGCTAGGGAAATACCCAATGCAATAAGTGTAAGTGTGTGTAGCCAACTTATCGTGCCCGACTACTTCCATCAACGAAAAGCTGCTTTTCTGGTGGCAGCTGTTGGCTTCGGCGCCTCTAGCAACTGCCATATGCATTTACAGAGTGCGCATATTCGTGGATTGTGCAGGAACAATAGTTTGTTCACCAGTTGTTGTTGTTGTTTTTGTTCTTTCCTTCACATGTTACACTGAGGGACATTTCATTTGATTTTCACTGGCACAGGAACAGAGCGAGTATAAAATGGCCTGACTGCACTGAAGTCGAAACCCCAACTAAGACCCAAAAAAAAGGGTGGGGTGGGGGAAACGGTGGTGGGGAAGCTGTGCCGTCTGCTCTTGTCGATTTCTTCCTGGATTCACGTCCTCAATGTTACACAGTTCTGCCTTGTTCGCCCTTGCTCGCCCTCGTTCGCCCTTGTTCGAGAAATCTGGTTTTATTTGCTAACCCTGGGTCAAACTGGCATGTGGCAAACCCAGCCTGTTTCCACTACCTTTGCTCTGCTGCCACTTCATAAAGTCCTTCCCTATAGAAATGTACTTTTTCATCGTTTCGTGTGATATGTGTGTCATGCGGTTTATACACATAAAATAATCACTGGAAATAACCACATTGTTATTATTATTATGCGTTTAATTTATTGCTACGCGCTTAAACAAGGCAGGGGTAACTTGAGGTTATCTCAGTAGAAAAAAATCTTTGTGTCGAGGCTCCAGCTGTGTACCACATCAATCCTCTAGTATCGTTTTATCTATAAAACAATGGGGTCAGCACTATATACTAAATGCGCTTCGTGGCGTGGAAAATTGTCCTTTTCTTCCCTGTGTGGGTCCGTGGACCCCATTTAAAAAAAGGGAAAAAAAAGGGGGGGGAGGGAGTAACAAGCTCCCCTAACAAGCCTGTGGTTTAAGACGACTAACTAAGGGTTTGTTACAATCGGATGTGTTTGGTCGAAAGGCGCAGATATCGCAGGTTAATTGTAAACCATACTCAACGTTACAACGGTTTTTAGAAGAAAAAGAAGAAGAAGAAGATGAAGAAGAAGAAGAAGAAAAAGAAGAAGAAGAAGAAGAAGAAGAAGAAGAAGAAGAAGAAGAAGAAGAAGAAGAAGAAGAAGAAGAAGAAGAAGAAGAAGAAGAAGAAGAAGAAGAAGAAGAAGAAGAAGAAGAAGAAGAAGAAGAAGAAGAAGAAGAAGAAGAAGAAGAAGAAGAAAAAGAAGAAGAAGAAGAAGAAGAAGAAGCGGGAGGAGGAGAAGAGGAAGAAGACAGGAGGGGAAGAAGAAGAAGAAGAAGGAGGAGGAGAGGAGGAAAACAAGAAGAAGGAGGAGAGGAGGAAAAGAAGGAGAAGGAGAAAAAGAAAAAGGAGGAGGAGAAGAAGGAGGAGGAGAAGAAGAAGAAGAAGAAGAAGAAGAAGAAGAAGAAGAAGAAGAAGAAGAAGAAGAAGAAGAAGAAGGAGTAGGAGGGAGGAGGAGGTGGTGGTATTGGTGGTGGTGGTCCCTTGCTTAATTTATAGATGATAGTGTATTCACCTGTTCAGTGTCGATATCAAATTCTTCTTTTGTGATTATTCCTGTGGCGGTGACAAGTTAAAACAATCACCCAGAACGTTCGTCTACACGACTTGTTGAGAACCACGTAAACAACAAAGTTGCAGGAACTGTTGATTATTGCGAATATGTTGATAACCTGGTACATCACCCTGGCCATGTTTGTCGGCGAGGCGTCAGTTAGCGATATGGAAAAATAGTCTGGCAAATACAGGGGTAAGTTGGACACGGATGCTGCAACAACATATACACCGCATATTGCCAGCAGCATCTTTGTGGTGCGATTTGTTGATACCTCTCTTTTTGTCATCTTCTTTCTTTTTATTGACACAAGCTTCACTTTAATTAATATGACCACACATCCGACAACTGTGAGAATGGGCGATACTAGAATTGTCAAGTAGATATTCAGCCTTTCAATTGCGTCTATTCCATTGGCGTTGTTTTGATATAAGTCGGCACGTTCAAGAAATCCTATGGACATGCCGGTGCCGTTGAAATAGACATATCGTAGTTTGTACCATAGACTTGGGTATACGAAAACTGAGAGCCAGAACAGAAATACTACAGATACGGCGAACCAAGTCCTTGATGGTGTTACGATTCTGTGGCAGCTGAGGGGAAAGAATATAACAACAAGTCTCTCTAGTGTTATCAGCGTGGGAAGTGTGAACGACGTCGACCAAAACACGTAGTCAAAGTAGGTAAAAAACACGAAAAGCACAAAAAGAACGTGACAATGGCCCTGCGAAAAACAGTCGAATTTTCTTCGGCCAACAACTTCATAGATTATTTTTGGCACGCTGTTGAAGGCAACGAGATAAGTGATATCCGAGACTGCTAGGCTAACGAGTAGAATGTGAGAACTTTTCTTTAACCCTTGTCTGGTCAAGATGGCTATACTGAAGCAGTTGCCAACAACTCCCATGACTGACAAGGTTGGTGTGACCACAAGCATGAGAATTCTAAGAATAATCCACGTTGTTGCGTCATCTACAATCTGGCTGTCAGCCATGACACCACTGTGGCTCCAATTGCTGGATTCAACGAAGACAAGATCCCCAAGATATGTATCCATGTTGGGCTTGTTCTGGTTGTTAGTTCTAGTTTAATTAGATTTCCACCCTTCACTTCCTAAATAATTATTTACATAAAATTATCATTAGAAATGTACTGGAAGTAAAGCTTGAAAGCTTAATGTTGAGACAGGACAGAACAAACAATTAGCATTGGCTGCTGGTCTAAGAGGGACGCTCCAATAGAAGGACAAGCATAGTACTGTTCTTCTGCAAAAGCTAACATAAACTATTTGTTGTTTCTTACCAACTTTTTCTCTTCCCTATAATTTTCTACTCCTTTTAAAAACTGTTCTTCTGACCCGACATCTTCTACAACATGATTTCTTCCAAACGGAATGGTGTTACATAACCTTTGGACCAAATCAAGCGAGACGAGAGAGGAGTCACGCTACATAGGTGACACACGGCCTCTACAATCTGCCTAGGCTTTACTTTGTGGAGAAAAGTAACTTTATGTAACCTAATTGGGCCGGATTCCTATGACCTTCTATAGCACAATATAATTCCAATGCCTGGAAAGATATAAAAGGGACATATGCAGAAGACGCACTAGCACAAGTAACTAGGATTGCCTGTCAGCCTAATTGGCATGAGCTCTAATTTCCATTTGGGCCCATTAAAAAAAAAACACTGACAAGTAAATCCAGCCTAAAATTCTTACGATATGATGTCTTGGGAAGTAAAGCGGTCGCAGTGATGTGTTTGAGATTTGAATACCGGATCAACATCATGGCACACGGGTAGTAACCCATAGGTGCTCCGTTCTTCTTCTAACTCAAGTCTGAGTCTGAATAAGCTCAGCACAGTGCGCAGACTCTGTAGCATCGGTGAGGATCCTGAAATACTTTGGGTAAATTTTTTACTCCAAATTTTGCCCAGGCAGCGCCGTTAGGCTACTCTTTTTGATTCCCAAACTGCCTAGGGATTTTTTATGTGCGTAACAATACACAGGAACGTCCGATCTCACTACCCAGAGACCAGGGGGAATCACAAAAAGTCAAAGTCCAAGTGAACAAATTCGAGCCCTTACCGGGGATGGAACCCTGAACCTCTAACACTCGAGGCAGACACTATTCCTCGAGTCCACACAGGTCCCCTCGAAGTAATGTTTACCTGGAAGTTATTTTTTGCTGGGTCGACTTGGTAGCCAAATAAATTTGGTGGGGGGGGGGGGATACCATCGGGTGTGGATTGGAACCCATGCCCGTCGGTGTGACAGGCGATCCTCTTACCCAGAGCTTTCTAAACTGTGTCATGACACATTATTGTGTGTTGGCGGCAGTGTGAAGGTGTGTCACGTTAAGGTGTCTCAGTTTAAGCGGGTCGAGTATCGTGGAATTGTGAAACGCATTTATTACCCTCTGTGAAACAAAGAACCTCGCTAAAGCTTGAACATAGGCCACTATCTTTGGTAAGCAACCAAGGGACTGTGAATCTGCAACCAAGACCACACTGCACGAACAGCAAGTTAAAAGGAGTATGGCCAGACAAAAGCACTATAAGGAAGCCAAAGAAGTATTTTAAAAATAACCAACATAGGACTGGTTTTATCAGCCGCTACGCCCGGCTCTCTAGCTTTGTTGGCTAAACCGGATTGCGCGGAGACCGGGTGACGAACTCCTTGTGGTCCGGATTCAATCCCGGGGGAAGGCAGAAAAGCCAAATTTCTCCCAGATTTACGGTATTTACAATGGAATCAAGACCGAAAGGTTGCGATATCCATAATACCGAGCCTCATGGCTTCTGGATACTAAATCAAACATCAGCCGCGACACGTCGTTGGATTTACAAAGGAGGAGATCCCCACACTTGAGGATTGGATGGTTCGATACCTAATGAGGATAAGCTGTCGGCTAAATAACTAACTGCCGAAGCTCCTCGTAGTTTTAAAACGTTTATAATTCGAAATAAGGTCTATCAAATTCGAAACCAACCACCGTTAACTAAATCAAACTAAATTAATTTGTTAAACGAAGTTAAATAAAAAGTTCATACGACTGGGAAATCACTGCCTTTCTGATAGTTGATAATTTTTTTTTAATCAATGCACACTTTTAACTATTTTACACTTTAAAATATATTTCGGATACTTGTGCGCACAATTAATAAATAATTTTGACGCCTAATTTGTTGTCACAGAAATAACTGAGTGTCCCTAGACTGAAAACGGTTACTGAAATTAAGTGAATGAGTTTACCACTAAATTGCCTTGGAGTACCGAAACGTTATTAAGTTAGAGTAATTTAGTGTTAAAATTTCAGTACAGCAATATTTCAGAGACAGGCGTTGCTATAATGTAAATTTCCAAACAAAGCTTCAAGTCTTTGCTTTGTTCTGTTCATAAAGTAGTTCAAATAATGGCGCTGTTTACTTTAACAGAAGACAAACTGGTTTTAAAATGATGTCGAATGGGCTGTTCCTATCGATGCCAAGATAATGATTTTTGTGTTAATTTGTGAATAATTTTATGCAAATAAAGCGGCTGAGTACAGATATCGGCGAGGAGGGAGTCGATTATGTGGAATATTGCTAGCACTTGAATGAATAAAACACGCTAATCAATCCAGTGCCTTTTCTACAATGAAAGTTGGCGCTATGATATATCCAACAGTCTCTAAAGCTTGCACTGAATTCACAGTCACCTAGACTTGATTGTTTTTCTTTTAGTGTTATCTACCCAGTTGTATCGCTGTCTACCTTTTGTTCCGGTGTGTTCAAATGTTCCCTTCAGTATGTTTTTTATAAGACTGTGGAATTGTTTAATGCGGGTGAAATACTGCATTTGTCCATGTTTTATTTCTTTCATTAACTCTCATGTCATTCTTATTCTCTGTAGAACCTTAGCGTCCGATTTCTTCTGTTTATATAAAATACGACATATACCTCTTCATATCCACATAATTAGGATCTCACTTCGATTTTCTTATTCTTTATTCAGTGTGGAGGTTTCTCCACCACACGGCAACGTTATCCCTATGATGAGGCCTGCATGTAACAGATGTAATCACCGCTCACACTTTCCGTTACACCAGAAAAATGCATTATTTTACTATTTAATAATACTGTTTACTATGTATTACAAATACGGGACTCGATTCACGTCTCGCTCATAATGCTCGTCAATAGTATTAACAAAGCGAAAAGAAAGCTCGCAGGATGCTCACCTTACTCATAAAAACTAACATGTGATAGCTACCAGTTACTAGTACTTTGATGCTACCCGCACACTATCTCTCAACAGCCAAGCGACGAGGATAAAAATATCACGTGATAACCTCTTCACTGTAATCGTTACCTGCTACTGCTTACGCGTGTGAATATATTACTCTTCGCCACTGTGTTGTCCATGTATAACATTTGATAATTATATTTGTAAAAAGTGAAATGCACTTGGCTCTTGCAAGTTTTACGGCGTTTAAGTGGATTTGTTGGGCGAGGAGTTAAACTCAGTGTTATGATATCGTATGCTGTTTATGTTGCGCTATCACAATCGACATCACTGCTCATCGGGCATTTTAATGGGTGCTCAGTCTTATAATGCAACAGCTATACCAGGGTACATCTACAGACTTTAGGTGAAAATTTTATTATGTTTCCAGTGTAATCCTAGACAACGGCATTAGCATGCTTCGCCTGGCTTCACTTTCTGGTCATGTAATCGGGTTAGCGTCAGGGGCGCCGTTATCCACCTTCCCAGTGTGTGCAGTGGTGACAATATTAGCGTAACCCGTGATACTTTTTACTTTGATTGTTAAAGGTTCTGAACAACTTTTCTAGGCACCATGTGACTGTGACGGATAAACGAATAACATAAAGAGGTTTATAAGTATATAAATATCTCCATCTTTCTACTTCTTTCTATGAGTGCCGATCAATTCATTGTCTGTTTATTATTTATGTTATAAATACGTACTGTAACGTGACTTCACTGGGTGCTTCAGACGAAAATGAAACATGAATAATACATCATTATCAGCACCAGGTGCCTTGCCGACTGGCGTGGGCGATCATGCCTCTCTACAATCTGCGATCTCCTGCAGCATGTATCAGTTCTTTTGCTGACACACCTCCATGCCATGCAACAAGACTGTCAAGAATCTTCTCTCGTTGTCTTCCTCTGTCCCTCCTTCCACAGATCTTCCAGTGGTCACAACATGTTCTATTTTCCCTCTTCATGGCCGGAAAATAATGACTGTCTCCTTCTGATGTCTATGATAAGTTGTCTTTGGGCTGCCGCCTCTTTCAAAACCTCTTGGTTGCTCTTTTTGGCTGTCTAAAAATAATACATACATTTTGCATTTAATTTTACAAAACCATCAGTATAAACTTCGATATATGAGTAGTAATGTACAGAAATGTATTTCAATGTAGATTGTATTTATTCTCTCAGCATGTTGGAGCAGTTGAAGTTTGCACCCAAGTACTTATATGTTGCCGTTCGTTTGATTTTCATATTATCGACTTTTATGTCAGCCAGTTAGTCAGTAGCAAATTCTTCGCAAAAGCTTGCTCCCATAACAACTCTCAGGAAAACTTCTCGATCACAAGCAAGATGCCCCGCGTCCCATATACCCATCTGGAGATCATCCGCCACATCCTGCACCCATCTTCTCTTTAGCCTTCCTCGTCCTCTCTTCACAGGCATAAACCCCGCCATTACTGCTCTGTCTAAACTTTCGTGACGTTTCAAGTGGACTTGTGTGTGCCCGGAGTTTATTTCATATCCGTGTCTTGTTATTATCCTGTATTCTGTCTTAGGAAATAATTCCGCCATGATTTTTTTTAAATCACTTCAATCTAAGGTGACCATACGTTCTGGTTCTGAATTCTTGGGGTCTGTGGAGGGTTGGTCCTAATAAGGACCTGAACTACTGTGCTACACTGCTGAAAATTCTTCACCAACTCAAAATGTATGGTATAAAGACACACACACAAAAGACTGTATTTAATCACGTGAAACATCCAAACAGAATATTTTAACTAATCAAGACTTATTGCGTATATTGAATTGTGAAACAATTTTATTCAATAAAGCTGATTATACAAAAATAAAAAAATATTACGTTCAATCAATAGTTTATGCATAATAATTTAAAAAAAATAGCTGTTTTGCTCTCCTTGAGATTAACTGAGTATGAGGGGGTTATATCTCTCAGGCAGAACATAAGACAGGGTCTGATAGTGTGAACCTCGAGACCGGAGTCAAGAGACGGTCTAATTGTGTGAACCATAAAGACTAGAGACAAAACGAACCTAAGAGACTGAAGACAAGAGAGGTTCTGGCAGTGTGAACCTCAGAGACTGGAGACAAGAGAGGGACTGGTCGTGTTAACCTCAGAGACTGGAGACAAGAGAGGTTCTGGCAGTGTGAACCTCAGAGACTGGAGACATGAGAGGTTCTGGCCGTGTGAACCTCAGAGACTGGAGACAAGAGAGGATCTGATAGTGTAAATCACAGAGACTGGAGACAAAACGGACATAAGAGACTGGAGACAAGAGAGGGTCTGAGAGTGTAAACCTCAGAGACCGGAGACAAGAGAGGGTCTGGCAGTGTGGACCTCGGAGACTGGAGATAAGAGAGGGTCTGGCAGTGTGGACCAGGGAGACTGGAGACAAGAGAGGGTCTGGTCGTATGAACCTCAGAGACTGGAGACAAGAGAGGGTTTGGTCGTGTGAACCTCAGAGACTGGAGACAAGAGAGGGTCTGGTCGTATGAATCTCAGAGACTGGAGACAAGAGAGGGTTTGGTCCTATGAACCTCAGAGACTGGAGACAAGAGAGTGTCTGGCAGTGTGGACCTCGGAGACTGGAGACAAGAGAGAGTCTGGCAGTGTGAACCTCAGAGACTGGAGACAAGAGAGGGTTTGGTCGTGTGGACCTCAGAGACTGGAGACAAGAGAGGGTCTGAGAGTGTGGACCTAAGAGAGTGGAGACAAGAGAGGGTCTGAGCGTGTGAACCTCAGAGAGTGGAGACAAGAGAGGGTCTGAGAGTGTGAACCTCCGAGAGTGGAGACAAGAGAGGGTCTGGCAGTGTGGATCTCGGAGACTGGACACAAGAGAGGGTCTGGCAGTGTGAACCACAGAGACTGGAGACAAGAGAGGGTCTGAGAGTGTGGACCTAAGAGAGTGGAGACAAGAGAGGGTCTGGCAGTGTGGACCTAAGAGACAGGAGACAAGAGAGGGTCTGGCAGTGTGGACCTCGGAGACTGGAGACAAGAGAGGGTCTGGTAGTGTGAACCTAAGAGGCTGGAGACAAGAGAGGGTCTGGTAGTGTGAACCTAAGAGACAGGAGACAAGAGAGGGTCTGGCAGTGTGGACCTCGGAGACTGGAGACAAGAGAGAGTCTGGCAGTGTGAACCTCAGAGACTGGAGACAAGAGAGGGTTTGGTCGTGTGAACCTCAGAGACTGGAGACAAGAGAGGGTTTGGTCGTGTGAACCTCAGAGACTGGAGACAAGAGAGGGTCTGGCCGTGTGAACCTCAGAGACTGGAGACAAGATAGGGTCTGAGAGTGTGGACCTCAGATACTGGAGACAAGAGTGGGTCCGGCAGTGCGGATCTCAGAGACTGGAGACAAGAGAGGGTCTGACAGTGTGGACCTCAGAGACTGGAGACAAGAGAGGGTCTGAGAGTGTGGACCTCAGAGAGTGGAGACAAGAGAGGGTCTGAGCGTGTGAACCTCAGAGAGTGGAGACAAGAGAGGGTCTGAGAGTGTGGACCTCAGAGAGTGGAGACAAGAGAGGGTCTGGCAGTGTGGACCTCAGAGACTGGAGACAAGAGAGGGTCTGAGAGTGTGGACCTAAGAGAGTGGAGACAAGAGAGGGTCTGAGAGTGTGAACCTCCGAGAGTGTAGACATGAGAGGGTCTGGCAGTGTGGATCTCGGAGGCTGGACACAAGAGAGGGTCTGGCAGTGTAAACCACAGAGACTGGAGACAAGAGAGGGTCTGAGAGTGTGGACCTAAGAGAGTGGAGACAAGAGAGGGTCTGGCAGTGTGGACCTAAGAGACAGGAGACAAGAGAGGGTTTGGTAGTGTGGACCTCGGAGACTGGAGACGAGAGAGGGTCTGGTAGTGTGAACCTAAGAGGCTGGAGACAAAAGAGGGTCTGGTAGTGTGAACCTAAGAGGCTGGAGACAAGAGAGGGTCTGGTCGTGTGAACCTCGGAGACTGGAGACAAGAGAGGGTCTGGTAGTGTGAACCTCAGAGACTGGAGACAAGAGAGGGTCTGATAGTGTGAACCTCGGAGACTGGAGACAAGAGAGGGTCTGGTCGTGTGAACCTCGGAGACTGGAGACAAGAGAGGGTCTGGTCGTGTGAAACTCAGAGACTGGAGACAAGAGAGGGTCTGAGAGTGTGGACCTCAAAGACTGGAGACAGGAGAGGGTCTGAGAGTGTGGACCTCAGAAACTGGAGACAAGAGAGGGTCTGAGAGTGTGGACCTCAGAGACTGGAGACAAAAGAGGGTCTGGTCGTGTGGACCTCAGAGACTGGAGACAAAAGAGGGTCTGGTCGTGTGAACTTCGGAGACTGGAGACAAGAGAGGGTCTGGCAGTGTGAACCTTAGAGACTGGAGACAAGAGAGGGTCTGGTTGTGTGAACCTTAGAGACTGGAGACAAGAGAGGGTCTGGCAGTGTGAACCTTAGAGACTGGAGACAAGAGAGGGTCTGGTCGTGTGAACCTTAGAGACTGGAGACAAGAGAGGGTCTGGCAGTGTGAACCTTAGAGACTGGAGACAAGAGAGGGTCTGGCAGTGTGAACCTTAGAGACTGGAGACGAGAGGGTCTGGCAGTGTGAACCTCAGAAACTGGAGACAAGAGAGGGTCTGAGAGTGTAGACCTCAGAGACTAGAGACAAGAGAGGGTCTGAGAGTGTGGACCTCAGAGACTGGAGACAAGAGAGGGTCTGAGAGTGTGGACCTCAAAGACTGGAGACAAGAGAGGGTCTGAGAGTGTGGACCTCAGAAACTGGAGACAAGAGAGGGTCTGACAGTGTGGATAGAGACTGGAGACAAGAGAGGGTCTGAGAGTGTGGACCTAAGAGACTGGAGACAAGAGAGGGTCTGGTCGTGTGGACCTAAGAGACTGGAGACAAGAGAGGGTCTGGTCGTGTGAACCTTAGAGACTGGAGACAAGAGAGGGTCTGGTAGTGTGAACCTAAGTGGAAGGAGACAAGAGAGGGTCTGGTCGTGTGAACCTCGGAGACTGGAGACAAGAGAGGGTCTGGCAGTGTGAACCTTAGAGACTGGAGACAAAACATATGGGGTGGGCTGCATGTGAGAGCCAAGGATAGGGCAATTTGGCGTGAGCTGGTTAAGGTCGTATGCTCCACAGGGAATAAATGAAGAAGAAAAAGAAGAACAACAAAAACAAGAACAAGAAAAAGAATGTAGCAAATATGTTTTCCTAAATAGCTTTATTTTGTACTCTGTATTGCAAAATTGGTATCCAAGAGTTTTCTGAGGTTTGTTGTTAAAGGAAAAAAAGGTAAGAAATTAACAGATCACCTCAATGACATTATTTGTTCAGAGACTGGGGGCTATGGCAGCATAGTAGTTAGATATCCAACTGTCGGTCTGAAGGTCTAAATCTGAAATCCTCACTGTGGCTCAATGAAATACAAACATTTATCTTGGCTCTCATGTCTAACCCAGCCTAATCAGGGTCAGGTCTAACCCAGCCTAATGTGGGTCAGGTCTAACCCAGCCTAATGTGGGTCAGGTCTGACCCAGCCTAATGTGGGTCAGGTCTGACCCAGCCTAATGTGGGTCAGGTCTACCCAGCCTAATGTGGGTCAGGTCTAGCCCGGCCTAATGTGGGTCAGGTCTAACCCGGCCTAATATGGGTCAGGTCTAACCCGGCCTAATGTGGGTCAGGTCTAACCCGGCCTAATGTGGGTCAGGTCTGACTCGGCCTAATGTGGGTCAGGTCTAACCCAGCCTAATGTGGGTCAGGTCTAACCCGGCCTAATGTGGGTCAGGTCTGACCTGGCCTAATGTGGGTCAGGTCTAACCCGGCCTAATGTGGGTCAGGTCTAACCCAGCCTTATGTGGGTACCATGTTCTAAAAACAAAAGCGGCCCGTGTGATGCAGACCCCAAGAGCCAGTTGATCTATTATATGGGTTCTGAGCCTCATTTTGGGGGAAATGAATAGAACCCCCGTCTCCCTAACAAGCATGTCCTAAGAGTCAACATATTATGGGTTTTCTACAAAGTGAGAATGAATGGGCCTGAGATTTGCTCTATGGTCATGGTTGCAGATTCACAGTCATCACTTGGTTCTCACAAACGTCTTACTTCTTGTAGAGCATTCAGTATATCAGCCTGGTCCATGGCTCCCCTGCCTTTGAGAGTAGCCTTATCTGGAAGCCTATCAGTTTGGTCATTTCCTCGCAAGCCTGCATGCCCTGGCACAAACATCAGATTGATCTTTGTCAGGCAGGTTGTTAGCCACTTGATGGGTGACATAGTCTGTATCCCGCTGGCCGCCTTTCTTCCCGAGATATTGCCTGGTATCCATTTTATATGGGGTCAACCTAGCAGTCAAAGTCAATTGTTTAAAAAAATTTTTTTTGCCCAAATGCAGATTTAGGTTCTTTATTAATATCTTACTCCCCAGATGATATCATAGGACAGTCCAACAGTTTAGAGGGTGGTAAGACCCCAGAACATCCAGAACTGGCCCTAATCCCAACCCACCTACGTCCCACAAGAGAGTGCAGCCCATCTACCACCCCCTGAAATATTAGACTGTCCCGTGACTTGTGGATTTTCCCTGTTTGGGGTAGGATATTAATATAGCACCCAGATTTAAACCCTAGACGTCTAGGTCAACTTATGAGCATTTGGGTCATTATTTCCCCATGACTCCCTATCTTTAAATATCAAAATTTAAACATTAAATACATTGCCGAGGCTTCTGAAAGTTACGTCATGGATAAATAAACCAGAAATTTTTTATTAGCTTGTCCATGAGGCATCAGAGGCCACTTTTGAAACATCCCCTGAATGTTCCTGGATCACTATGACTGTAAAGTTCACATCTGCAGATGGTAAAATTCAAAATGTCATTGTCGCTGACTGTGTACTGATTGTTAACAACTAGAGTTAACAAATGGCATGAAAAAACAGTTTTAAAACAGAGTTAACAAACAGCATATTATACAAACTAAGTTAATAAATAAAACCTGTCCCAGCGTTTTTATTTTAAAAACAAAACATGTATGAGATATTATAGTAGGAGTAAAGTCAAGATCCCTTTACATGCCTACAGGCCTACTGGGCATAATGGTAGATTTATATTTTATAGACCACTTTGTACTTGGTAGGTGATATGGTTAATGGCGTGCCGACCGCCTATACTTCCCAGGACTTACCTGGTACTTATTAAGAGTGGGTCGACCTGTGAGCCAAAGTAATTTTTTTTTAAAGTCTGGTTTTGTTCGAATGAACCCACGACCTTCTGATCCGCAGGCAAGCGTCTAGCCACTATACTTTTTTTTGGTTTATCGGCTGTAAGCTCCGGCAGAAAGTTCTGGTTCTACATCCATTTGGACTTTGGCTTTGTGCCAGGCCCTGAGTATTTGTGTGTACATCTGATTGACTGGCTTATTTGGATGTTCCTAGCCACTAATGGCCTGAAGAGAATGAGGCACCTGGCTCTAACCAGAGGGTCTGGCCGGCTCATTACATTCAGAGGAAAGGCAAGACGGACATTTAACCAGATTGTGGCAGGTACCATCAGCATTGGAACTCTGCTCTGGCTACTGAAGATGAGAACGGAGCATGCATGAGAATGCCCCGAGTGCTGTGATGTCAATTCTTGACTCAAATCAACTCGGGTAGATGCAATGTGACTATGAAGGAAGCTCTGAATTAATCGACTCTTATGACATGCCTTTTTTTTTGAGTAGGCAGTCAGTATATTCTTGTATGTGAAGTATGTGTTTGCTTGCATATGTCTTGGATGTGTGAGTATTTTTACATGTATATTTGAAGGTATACATTTATCATCCATGACTCTGTATTTCTTATTTACATTTATAGAATGAATTTTTACATGTTAGCATAATTGTTTGTTTTAGTATCCAGAAGCCATGAGTTGTTAACCCTTAGGCTCGGTATTATGGATATCACAACCTTTCGGCCTTGATTCCATTGTAAATACCGTAAATCTGGAAGAAATATGGCTTTTCTGCCTACCCCCAGGAGTGAACCCGGACCACAAGGAGTTTGTCACCCGGTCACCGCGCAATCCGGTCTAGCCAACTACGCCAGAGAGCCGGGCAGGTTAGCATATTATAATTGATATATATATATATATATATATATATATATATATAATATGCAGCTGCAGTCTGAAAAATGATTTCTTGGAAGGGCCAAATCTAAAATAGGCCTGCATGTCTAGTTTGTCACTCTTTCAAAATAAAGTTTGTTCATCCCCACAAAGGACCCAGGAAACCCACACCGAAAAAAAAAAGTTCAAGAACGATAGACCACGATAGTCTATAATCTATTAAGATGTAGCCGGGTGACCACAGGTGTTTATAGTTTTTACATGACTGTGCTCACGAACCAGAAAGGGACCTTTTAGTTTTGTGTTCAACAAATGTTGAATATGATGATTATATTCCTTTGCTTGATTCAAGATAGAACATGGTCTGGCTAGGCCAGTGGTTCTCAGCCTTCCTAATGCTGTGACCCTTAAATACAGTTCCTCATGTTGTGGTGACCCCCGGACATAAAATTATTTTCATTGTTACTTCATAGCTTCAGTGAAAATGTAATTTCTGATGGTCTTAGGTGACAAATGTGAAAGGCTCATTCGACCCACAAAAGGGTCGCAACTCATAGGTTGAGAAGGCTGATCTAGGCATTGCCTATGTAGTTGTAATTATATGTTGTTGTGTAACACAGTTATTCACATATTCACTGCCAGGGCTATGAACATATTTCATAACCCCTGCAAAGAAAAACTTTTGTCTTTTCTTTACTTTTCCTGTTTTTGCAGTTTAGCGGGAAACTACTTATTGTCCTTACCACATTTTCTTTTTCATCTCCCTATTTTTTTTTGTCTTTTTAATTCCTCTGCCCGCTAGCACAATAAATAAAACGAAGAAAAGGAAGCATAAAAAAGCCAGTACTCTCAGAAATACAACTGCAAAAGAAAGCATATGTATGCATAAACAGACACACACACACACACACACATGCACACAGACACATACACAGACCTTTAAATATATAGATATACAATTAACAACAGCAACTTGACAAATGAAACAAACCTGGAGATATTAAAATTTCATCTTTGTCTGACAAGGTTCGAAGAAACATGAGGTCATCGTGAGGATCCACATCTCGGATCAATCGCCTTGCAGCTAAAGATAACTCGTGAATGTTTTTAATCAACTGCTCCGTTGTCGCATTCATCTCCATGTTTGTTTTCAGCAAAAGACCTGGTTTAATTTGTAAAATTACCATAGTGAAGTCTGCCATTCAACATGTTGTTGTTATTATTATTATTATTATTATTTTCTATTACTGTGCTGAATAGGAAACAAAAACATTATTAACATAATTGAAAAAGTGACCTCTTAGTCACGTTACAAAATTATTGGTGGCACAGTTATCAACCCCCCTACCCCAATTTCCTGGGAAGTCCAAGGGATGTCAGCTGCCAGGTTCTGGCACATATGACAGAAGTTGATATTATAGTAGATATTGCAAGATGTGGACAAGCTTGACAGCAAGACACTTGATGATGATGATAATCCAAGGGTAGTGAATCAGATGTACAGCCTTAATGGATACGTTTTTTTTTTTTTAAATCACAGGATTCGCATGCATGCTGCAAACTTTAAAAAAAAAAAAGAAATTCTGTATGTTCTTTGATATATGTTTATTATTTCATTTACTTCTATGATTACTGGGTTCATTTTACATTTTTCGCTCCAGAAAGAGAGTGACTTCCCTTGACCTCTCCTATGTTGTGGGAGTGTTATGATATGGCTTGGTTTGGAGTTTGCATTGCGTATATAATGTTTGTGGGAGTGTGTTGTTGTAAGCCTATTTCAGGCACCGCAGTCGCCTGAGTACAAGAAAGAAGTACTGCAGGGGGAAGCACTGCTGGCGTGACGATTCTTGAGCATCAAAACTGAGATGTTTTTGTATTTCTGCGCTTGTTGGTAGTGGCTTCCACATAGAGAAAGAAGGCGCTCACAAGGAACACAGGAATAGACAAAAATGTTGTTGTTTCTATACCGCTGAACCATCATGCAGATAGCAGAACATAAAAATAATCAAGAGAGTGGTGAGAAGATGAGAAAAGAGAAAATGGTCAAAGCATTGACAATAAGGAAAACCTCACAACATAGGAAAGGTCGTGACTTGAAGAGTGGGTGATGTGGTCAGTATCACGCTAACCACCTTTACTTCCCAGGACTTAACCTGATACCCACTTAAGGCTTGGTCAACCTGGAAGCCGAGGTGATTTAAAAAAAAAAATCCATCTGTTCAGATTCGAACCCACTACCTTTGGATCAGCAGGTGAATGCCTAACTGCTACACCACTACAGCTCCCAGTGCTGATCAGTACTTATGGGTTTATTTATCATGTTAATTCAATGAACCTGAAGGAATTCCCAGCAACTGACACTTCTATGCAACATGTAGAACAACAGAAAGTGTGCACACTTACCATCTTTATTTATGATTATTAAAGCTTTGACGCCTTTGTGGCTGTTAATTCTTTTCATGATCTCTTCAACTTGTTGTTGTGACTGCACAAACAAAAACAGCCAATTTAAACAAGGACAAATCAGATTTGCAGTAGTAGTAGTTATACTACACATAACATGTTCAACTCCTCTAGGCCATACTGGAATGCTCTTGTAACAGATATGTAGGTTTTTTAACTAAAACCTTTGACTTGTTCCTATATAGATTTTAACCCTTTAGCCCTGGGAACACTAAAATAAAAATGGGTCATGACCCCGTCAAAATTCCAGAAAAAAATACTTAAGCAACCAATGATTTTAAACAGGTTACTAATAAATTATTAAAACAAATTTATTTATCATCAGCTGTTGGGTCACAGATTGGTTTGCCAGTAGATGACTTTATCGCCGGCGGTTGGGTCACCGATTGGTTTGCCAGTAGATGACTTTATCGCCGGCGGTTGGGTCACCAATTGGTTTGCCAGTAGATGACTTTATCGCCGGCGATTGGGTCACCGATTGGTTTGCCAGTAGATGACTTTATCGCCGGCGGTTAGGTCACCGATTGGTTTGCCAGTAGATGACTTTATCGCTGGCGGTTGGGTCACCGATTGGTTTGCCAGTAGATGACTTTATCGCCGGTGGGGAAAGTCAGTGTGTCTCCTTTGATCGCATCACCACTGCAGGACTCCTTTCCAAGGCTACTTGGTGGTGTGCAATGCTAGGCCACCAAAGTGCCACCTGAGCAGTCAGACTTGTGTAGAGTCATAATCACGCTGAGCCGGAAATGCAGAGACTGGTCAGCAGGTGCCACAGAGGTGGAAATTCAGCCATTAATTCAAGATAATGCTGGCTCGAAGGATTTGATCATTTACACAGACGGTTCAGTCTCAAGAAGTGCTTGGGGCTTCTTAGCAAAAGTTAATGGTCGACGTTTGGTGCAGGAGAGCCTAGCATATGATACCACAACATCCAGCTTAAGAATGGAGGTGGAGGCGGTCACTGCAGCTTTCCGCTGGCTAGAGAACACGACAAACACACACACATTGTAATTGTAACTGATTCAGAAAGCATGCTGAGGAAGATCAGAACATGTATGCTTCGTGCAGAGTGGCATGCTTCGCTGCGGAGGACACGAGTGAGGAGTATTGTCTGGATTTTTTCACCAGGTTACGCCAGTGTGTTGGGAAATGAACATGCGGACAGACTGGCTGGCTCTGCACAACTTGGTGGAATACTGATATATGATAGGGCAGACGTGGTTTGTGCCTTGTGGGAGAGCGTGTACAATTCGGAGGAGCAGATGGATCACCACAGTTTGGTGAGACTGATGCAGTTGGGGGTGACGAGAGGTTCTGGCAGAAGCTCGAGGCTCAGAGGAAAGGCAAGACGTATGTTTAATCAGAAAGCTACTGGCACCATTAGTATCGGAACTCTTCGCTGGCTGCTGAAGATGGGGACGGAGCGCTTATGGGAATACCCCGAGTGCTGTGATGTCGGTTCTTGAATCAAATCAAATCAAATCAAATGCTAGGCCATTTTATATGGCACACACAATCCAGTCACAATTATAAGCTAAAGCTTCCCCTATGGGGTTGCTGGTTGATCATGAACAGCAAAGGAACAGAACGACCATTTATTTATCTACATATAAAGTAATCAATAAACATGAACAGGGTGAAGCATTCAACAGAAGACATTGCCTGTGATCAAAACATATACGTATTGGGTAACATATGCCGTGACCCCAGGACTTCTATCACTGATTGATTGCACCTTTTCGTCTATAATCAATCAGTGATCTCCATAGCACAAAGTCTAGGCAGTATTGTAGAGACCATATGTTGCCAACGCATCATGGTCCCTATTTCAATCTGCCTTGTTTATTTCAAAAGAAAGGTAACACCAGTACTTTTGGAACAAAGCAGATGGCAGAAGCTTCTGGATTAGAAGAGCAGTGTTCTGTCTGTCCGCGTGTCAGAGCTTCCCTCCTAGACCAGCTGCCAGCCAAGGCGAAGGTCCTGGTCTGCCCTGCCATAACATAAAGTTTTCAGGTTGCTTTTCCTCTTCCTAGGCCAGCTGCCAGTAAAGGCGAAGGGCCTGGTCTGCCCTGCCATAACATAAAGTTTTCAGGTTGCTTTTCCTCTTCCTAGGATAAAAAACACTTCTATTACTAAGTCACTACTATTTCACTGAATTGAATGAGGACACGAACAAGCTGATAGGATTGCAGGCAAGGTTACTGTGGAGAGAGGATGTATAGGATTGTAGGCAAGGTTACTGTGGAGAGAGGATGTATAGGATTGCAGGCAAGGTTACTGTGGAGAGAGGATGTATAGGATTGTAGGCAAGGTTACTGTGGAGAGAGGATGTATAGGATTGCAGGCAAGGTTACTGTGGAGAGAGGATGTATAGGATTGCAGGCAAGGTTACTGTGGAGAGAGGATGTATAGGATTGCAGGCAAGGTTACTGTGGAGAGAGGATGTATAGGATTGCAGGCAAGGTTACTGTGGAGAGAGGATGTATAGGCTTGCAGGCAAGGTTACTGTGGAGAGAGGATGTATAGGATTGCAGGCAAGGTTACTGTTGAGAGAGGATGTATAGGATTGTAGGCAAGGTTACTGTGGAGAGAGGATGTATAGGATTGTAGGCAAGGTTACTGTGGAGAGAGGATGTATAGGATTGTAGGCAAGGTTACTGTGGAGAGAGGATGTATAGATTTGCAGGCAAGGTTACTGTGGAGAGAGGATGTATAGGATTGCAGGCAAGGTTACTGTGGAGAGAGGATGTATAGGCTTGTAGGTAAGGTTACTGTGGAGAGAGGATGTATAGGCTTGTAAGCAAGGTTACTGTGGAGAGAGGATGTATAGGATTGCAGGCAAGGTTACTGTGGAGAGAGGATGTATAGGCTTGTAGGTAAGGTTACTGTGGAGAGAGGATGTATAGGCTTGTAAGCAAGGTTACTGTGGAGAGAGGATGTATAGGCTTGTAGGTAAGGCTACTGTGGAGAGAGGATGTATAGGATTGCAGGCAAGGTTACTGTGGAGAGAGGATGTATAGGCTTGTAGGTAAGGCTACTGTGGAGAGAGGATGTATAGGATTGCAGGCAAGGTTACTGTGGAGAGAGGATGTATAGGCTTGCAGGCAAGGTTACTGTGGAGAGAGGATGTATATACTTGTAGGCAAGGTTACTGTGGAGAGAGGATGTATAGGCTTGCAGGCAAGGCTACTGTGGAGAGAGGATGTATAGGATTGCAGGCAAGGTTACTGTGGAGAGAGGATGTATAGGCTTGCAGGCAAGGTTACTGTGGAGAGAGGATGTATAGGATTGCAGGCAAGGTTACTGTGGAGAGAGGATGTATAGGATTGCAGGCAAGGTTACTGTGGAGGGTGGATGTATAGGCTTGTAGGTATGGTTACTGTGGAGGGTGGATGTATATGCTTGTAGGTAAGGCTACTGTGGAGGGTGGATGTATAGGGTTATAGGTAAGGCTACTGTGGAGGGTGGATGTATAGGCTTGTAGGTATGGTTACTGTGGAGGGTGGATGTATAGGCTTGTAGGTAAGGCTACTGTGGAGGGTGGATGTATAGGCTTGTAGGTAAGGCTACTGTGAAGGGTGGATGTATTAGCTTGTGGGTAAGGCTACTGTGAAGGGTGGATGTATAGGCTTGTAGGCAAGGTTACTGATCATTGATTATTTCAAGCTTTTATTTATTCTAACTTGTTGCAGCCTATTTAAATTTAAAAAAATAATCTGCTCAATACAGGTCACTACCAATGATTTGGGGAAATCACGGAACACAATGTTTTAGATTGTAAGTTAGAATCTTTTGGAAAATTATGTAACATAATTTCTGTGATTTTTTTTATACACACCCTCTTTATTATTTCTTTCAATAAAAATTCAAAGACGGTATCTTTCCATTATCCATATAATTAAAAGTTGTATATATTTTGCTTTTTTCTAGCATTAGCTGATGTATTTTAAAACGACACAGACTGTAGGAGCGTTATGGCTTTATACAGCTCAGGGCGAACGAATTTACATATCTGGGGAGCACTTTTTTCTCAGAAGGACAAATTAATAAAGGAATTCAGCAAAGATGCAATAAAGCCACTCAAGTTTTAGGACAAATGGCATCAATTTCGAAGTGCAAGCATGTGTATATGAACACTAAAAGAACACTGTTGAACACAATTTTTTTTCACCAATGCTATGCTATCAGTGTCAAACGTGGACAGTCTTCAGAAGACAGAAGGAAATTAGACCAAAAAAAAAGAAGTAAAGTCGGGAGACGTTCCTCCATTTACCCCAGAGTGTTAACTCTGGTACCCATTTCTTAGAGGCTGGGTGAACTCCAGGAATCGTCTGGTTTCGAACACAGGCTGTGTGCTCCAGCGAATCTTAGCTGGATTTGAAAGCGAGTTTCCTATCGACTGCTCACATGCAGTCCCCGTTAGACACAACAGAAATTAAATGTTTACATACTATACTTAGTGTAATGAGGAAAGATTGACTTAGGTTCGATGATAACAGGAGGAGAATCGGCACAGAAACAATACAAATGGTTTGGCCATGTAACAAGACTGGCATCAGACAGGACACCACCAAAAGCAGTGTTATGCAGATACAGCGGTAAAAGAGCCAGAGGTCGTCGACTACGCAAAATATGTCCAGCACAAATATCAGAAATGCTCAAAAGTACTATTATATACAAAGCGAACAGAACGGAGAACGGCCCGTTCCAGAGATCGCTTTTCACGCTGACGCCGTGAGGCATTTCATTTCAGCAGTAGAGAAAAGAAGAAAAAAAAGACAGCTCAGGCTTCGTCAAGCCTTAATCCGACCCTGCGTCAGTCGCTACATGCTGCGAGATTTACTGAGCAGGGGATCCGAGCACTTACATTTATTAAATCAAATGATTATTATTAATAAACGTTATTAATATTCGATTCTAGTTCTAGGTCAACTGACAACCAACTGTTTCTACTGGCGCCATTAACCGATGGGCCGCTAAAATGCTAAATTATCTATAAATTCTACAGTAGATTGCGGAATAATAAGACTAATATTACAGATACAGAATGAAATGTATGATCCTAACCATTGTACTGCCCACTTGTATGTCTGTGAAAACGTAAACTTGTCAGGGATAA